AAGTATTTTGCACACTAAAATAAAATACCCCCCGCCGCAGCAAATCTGCCGACTAAGCAAATTTCCATTTGTCGGAATTGATTTTCAAACTCATTAAATCATCGATAATAATGAATGTTCCCCTTAACAGGAAAGTACCCATGTGAATAACTTACATAGGTCTTACAACTGTATGTAATCAACAATGTAATCCAGCTACTTGGAGGTCACGGATTGTGGATATTTATAGGCATGCACTGTGGATGGGATACTCCCTGGTGTGGATTAACGTCCGCACTAGTGAGTACTACTACTATCCGCAGTACTATCCTGATAATTAGACCAATTCGTATATACCAAGGAAAAAATGTGGTTCGGATTCCACTATAAACTGTAGGTCCCTTAGTTGCCATTAGCTGTTCGGGCTATTAATTAACAGCTGTGTCTAAGGAATGTCGGCCTTAGTCACTAACAAAGACTACAAGATTGCGCCACTCATCCTACACTCATCTCCATTCATACTTGGCTTAAAATACTTACATAGTATGGTCGCCATTTCATAAGAAAGTATAAAAGTATAAAGTACAACAGTCTTTCACCAATAAATAAAAACCAGTCCTCAGCAAAGGTTTGAATACAAAATGATAGCTCAGTAACTTTACTGGGTTTTTAACTAACTTAACTGAGCTACGCTTAGAACAACATGTTTGGAAATAATTAAATAGGCCTAACAATTACGGTACACCATGGCTCATGTCACTATGCAGGGAGGTCAGTATACGTGACAGTCCTGGAGACCCCATCAGCGTTATCACGCCCCTCCTCCCTTGTTAGTCCTGTTACCCAATACTAACTTACAAACTCCACGTCATCTACAGTGCCATATATGGTATCCTAATAGCTTGTTCTCCATATCTTAATTGAAGGAATTCTCTATAACTAACCTAACCCAGCTACATGATAAAACTGCAGTTTTTTTTTTTTTTTTTTTTTTTGTCCTGAGGACGCTAGGCACGAGCCTGGGATTGTTTTTCACATTACTTCAGGCTAGACCTAGGGGTTGCGGCATTATCACTTAGATAAAATCCATTGGTGACTTGGCGGGGATCGAACTCGGGACCTCAGGGACTGAAGTCCCGCGCTCTAACCACTACGCCAGCTTGCTCCCCAAAATAATAAAACTGCAGTAAAGCTAATAAAGTATATAATGTAGGCCTATGTATTAGGCTACCGGTAAGGCTATTTCATTGTAGAAAGCTTAAGCTGAATTCTGGGTCCTAAATAAGTACCAATTGAACTCAATGATACCATAGATAAAACATACTCCCTTAGTAGATTTCTCATCCTAATGGAACAGCTGAAGACAATTTTATTGTTAGTTCTGTACGGTTTAAGTAGAGGTTGTGTTTTGTTTACAATTTGTTTCCTGTTGATACAGTCATTTAAAACCTCGTTTAACCAAATAATACGATCTAATCATAAACAATAAATTGTCACCTAGTTATTTAACCAAACAGTAAAGCACAAATCAAGAAATTAACCCTAAAATAATAGAAACAAAATTTCACCTACACTAGCGCCCAGTGTGGCGGCGTACATGAACTAGACATGAAAAACGAGCTTCAAAATTTACAATGGGATGAGAAGTCTACTTGTGTTGGTTAGTCTATGATGATACCAACAGTCCAATCGTTATTAATTTGCAGATTCAGACATAGGCTATTTCTAAGTTTTGTCAGAATTTTAACACGTCACTGCGGGCGTATCCGATCAGATACGGGCCAAGCGCTGTCCAGGTGCTGCTGTAACCGATCGGATACGCTCGGCAATGCCTTTCGTATATCGTCTGTTTTTGCTCTAGCGTCGGTCGAAGGCGGACCTATACCACGTTAGCGTGTAGTGGGTGACTTGCTTTTTATTGTGTAGTAGGTAGGTGTAGTACTTGTAGGTTTGTAGTAAAATTTTCCCATAAAATCCCCGTCCGGCAAACTTAAAAATCAACTTGTTGTCCCGTCATTCTCCCTCCAATTGGCAATACAATGGGACCGGCTACGTTCCAAGCAGTGCTGCTATCTGTGAGTGTTTAGCGAACTACGTTGACTCTTGTTATAAAGCAGGACATCACCGCACGTTATTTGCTATTCGTCCTACCGAAATATATGAGAGCCAATCACCCGGCAATCAGGTTTGTTCGACTCTGCGGGCTGCACCGCACTGAGGCTACGCCTGCCATTTGATGGCCCGCAGCGAACGTGTTAAAGAGCTGTTTTAAGTGCAAATTTAGGCCTAGTCGCCATTCCTTATTCCTAGGGTTCATCCGAATTGGAATTGGTGTAAGTAAGTTATACATTATAACACTGAAAAATCCTACTAACCTGCACTTTGTAAACACAAAATTATGTCCTTTTCTATGGCATCAAGTGTTTGTATTCTCTCCATGGGAGCAGTCATTGTTATTATGCCAATGTCTATTTCAATTTGTCGACACAATTATAATAATGTATAAGAATACAGTTGGCTCCTATTTTCAACATAACACAAATCACACGGCTATGGATGGGGTGTAACTTTGAATGTTGACTACTTAACTTTAACTAAAAACTTAGGCTTGTTTGTACAGCTACAATGCTACAAATTCTCTACAATACAAAATACAATACAATACAAATAATACAATTGACAGACTGACTGAACTGACAGCGACAGCGGTGACAGCATTTCAAGTGAAGAAGAAGAAGTGAAGTTACTGACACACTGACACTACACACACTACCGACAAGACAACAGGAACAGGAGACAAGAACGGGACGGGACCGACCACGGCCACCGCGGTCACCTTTAATCCTATGCCGTGGCGTTCTAAGGTTCCTTTTATACTCTGCGGAAGCCGCTGCGTTCGATTGCGGGCACCAAATGTTTGTGTGGTGGCCATGGCATCGGTGGGTTTATCAGGGCTACCAACTTAAGAGTTTTTATTCACCTTACCACTAGTGTTGATTGAGCCCCTTCGACATCCCTGAGCTTGTAGTCCTCTGATTAACAATCCCACTAACTTGGTCTAGATTTTATTTCGTCGATGAACTGTTCAATGTTGACTTAAGTCGTAGTGGGTTCTGTCATTTTGCATCAACTAAAAGTGCAAACTGATGCTCAGAAAAGGAAAACAAAACCACCTACCACACCGGCAACAGAAAGTGAAATTAGGGAGGCAAGGCAGTGCCATGTTGCCCTGAGTTTCTTTTGATAAATTGGCAGCACTTGACAGCGCCGCTGCGGCACGCCGCAGAGTATAAAGGCTCCCATATAGCCTTACACAATGCCACGGCCGCCTTTAACTCCAGGCCGCGGCCTTCGAAGTGGCAATGTCGCAAGTGGTGTTGTAACAGCTGTTTTTTTGGAAGCAGCTAATGGTATTTGTGTATTTACGATGAAAGATTGGTTACTGGACTATGACAATATTGACTCCGTTTAAAATGTACAGATATAGATTTTTAACTCATATTGTTTCGGTTTTCAATTCTGTATGTTTTATTTTCAATATTTTAATAAATTTATGTTCATAAATTTAAATTTAAATCAATAAAGTGTGAATAAATGGGCTGATGTCACCTGTCTGCGATTTAATCTTATGGGACGTCTCTCACTAAACAACACCACTTGCGACGTTGCCAATTCTACCAGGTCGCGGCCTGTAGTAAAGGTGGCCGTGACAATGCACCTAGAGGCCGCACGTTTCCATGGCTCCTAGGTGCGCCGTCGTGTGTCTAGCCAGCCGCAGCGTCGTCCGGCGGCCACCGCAGAGGATAAAAGCACCCATTTAACTCAATGCACTTACAGGGCTGGAGAACGCAGCGGCGTGCGGCGTGCGGCGTGCCGAAGTGTATAAAAGAGGCCTTAGTGACAACACTGTCTGTAGTGCTGTTACAGCTGTTTTGTTTGGAAGGCAGCTAATGTGTATTTGTGTATTTTTTAAGTATACAAAATCTTGGTTACTGGGCTATGAAAGTATTGTCTCCATCTTAAATGCAAAGAAATAAATGTTCGATTTATATTGTTTTCGTTTAGAATCAGCGATCACATAAGACCAATACTAGTATATAGAGCCTCCTATCTAGCGTTTTCAATTCTGTATGTTTTATTTTCAATATTTGAATATAGTTACGTTCATAAATTTAAATAAAAAGTGCGAAATAATGAGCTGATGTCACCTGTCTGTCATGTTATCTTATGGGACGTCTGACACTAAACCCTACTTGTGACGTTGCCAATTCTACCAGGCCGCGGCCTGGAGTTAAAGGTGGCTGGCCTGCGGGAGACTTGTTCCTTTTTTTAGCCAAAGAGTATAAAGTCGGTTAAATGCGACTATTTCAGTATCGGCAAGATGCGATGTCTGTTGTTTGTGACGTCGGTAAAATGGGAATATTTCAGAGTTATTGATTTTGATCCACATTTCCCTTATAAAAATCTAAAATGTTTTTAAACTGTTCTTTGGCATCAACACTACTAATAAATTAAAGCACAGTACTCATTGTACTTAGATTGAGGGTAATTAAATCCCGCCTTCAGGAAGAAAATTGCAAATACAAGGCAAAAGGCAACAATGTTTAGTGAACAACGAGAACGGGTGAACTGGAAACAACTATTAATTTTTTTTTAGAAACTGAATTATTCTCATCTGACCGAAACTGAAATATGTACAGTGATTAAATAATACCATACTGTAGATAAAACGGACAATGTTTTATTTATGATACTATCTTTCACGTATATGACACCATTCTTATAACTACTTTGATAGGTCTAGGATGGCAACCCTGCTGTAGACTGCAGAGCAGACACTGACAATCACACGTCACAACAAACGTTTTCAAAAAATAACAATGAAATTGAAACATAACCTTACATCAAAAACGGACATCTAAACGCAGGATTGACTTGTAAAAACGTGATAAAAAGTCGATTGTTTGTTACAGATTGATTAGTCCTGCGATCTAGTTAGGTAAAATAATGTAAGTAAACTTAGGCCTAGATTCATTTCTAGCATAAATTATTCCTAGGCTTTACCCAATGATTTAAGTTTTCCATTTGGCCATCTAGTTATCCACCACAAGACCACATAAACATACTGGATTCTGGGACATTATGTTTGACTTTTATATTACTTTACTATAATGGACACAGGTATTAAGTTATGTTTCGACATACTTATAGGAAACTGAGCTTTTGCATTTTTTTATTCAATGTTTAGCCTAAAGGTTTAAAGTTGAATTAGGCATAGGTTAAGATTTTGTTTACTGTCTAATTTAATACAAGACATGTGCACAATGCACATTTTATTTATTTACCATCAATGATCCACCATTTTTACATTGATTGTAAGTTAGTTTACTGATGTTTTTGTTAGGGCCTACATCAATGTTTTCGTCGAACATTCATGTTTTTGCCAAAATCTCAAGGTTTTCCATGGCTGAATTTGTATTATTTTTGGGTTAATTAGCTGTTGGAGTACAGAGAGAAGACGTAAAACTAAATACCCCGCCACAGCAAACGTGAGGACTAAGCAAGTTTCAACTTATCTGATTACATCTTTACTAAAATATTTCCATAAATACTGCAAGACATATTTATATTTCCAATTTAAATAACATAAGATTTAACGAGTGCTTAAATAGATTTGCTGCCACGGGGAAGGTAAAAAGCTTTTTTTGACCAGACTTTAATAGCATAGAATGAAACAAATAAATTTGCAAAATTTTATCAACATATCTCCATAAACAAGTAAACTACAACAGTTATCATTTTCTCCTTAAGAATAACATGGGAATTTTAAATTTACATATTTTTTTCTTTTCTCTGTAAATTTTAGGCATACAGCAGAGCTTCAATATAGGTACTAAATTATTTATTTTTTTAAGATTTACAAATTTGTGAAGAAAGAAATTGCAAAATTAAATGTTTTTAGCGTCATAAATGGGAAAAACTCATTTTGAACCGTTAAAACCCCCATAAACCCCCATTCCCATGGTCCGATCGATTATCCTGATGAGACCACGGTCACAGAAAACATACTACTATAACCCAGAAGGCCAACCTCATGGTATGTAAAAAGCATTAAGCAATTTGAGAGAGCTTTGCCTATCAATTCGTAGGCAGCGCCACCAGCGTGCCATGCACTCAGCATAGCAACACTGGTGGCGCTGCCTATGAATTGATAGGCAAAGCTCTCTCAAAGTACTTAACGCTTTTTACCATGCGGTTGGCATTCTGGGTTATAGTAGGTAGTATGTTTTCTGTGCCACGATTGAGGAAAGCAATATGGCTCGGCCAATATGGTAGCATGACCAAATGACGGATCCATACTCCAGGATGGGATGAACTAGATTTAGGAAAGTATTTATAATCAAAATTTTGGTTGATCTTATTCATCTTGGATATAAATCAGCTACCGGTAATCAAATAACTTTAGGCAACATTTTGAGTTAAAATTAAATGATGAAATGAATTTTTTCAAGAAACTCCTGAAATGTGAGTAAGTTAAATAATATTTTCCCGGTGTAGAGGAAGATAACAGCTTTAATATGACACCTCATTTATGAAAAATTATGAAGAAATAAGGAAGTTATGGCCTACCGACAAAAATAAAGCACTTTATAAATTATAATTAGTAGTATACAAGTCGACTGTTGCAAATCATTCGCAACTCCTCAAATTCCACTTAATACTTTAGTACACACAGCTAGTACCGTCTAGTTTATGCGGTTTACAGGATACTTTTGAACACTATGTTTGAACTGATGATATGGTCATCTGTCAGTAGCTTTGTTTTATACAGACAAGTTGACACCCAGAGATCGAACCCTTGAAAACGTCATTTACAACTGAAAATATTCCTTGAAAATTGTCAGTTTGATTTCCTATTGAAATAACATTAATTTTAATGAGTTCCTAGGTTTGTTGCTACAGGGAAGGTGTGATTTTTATTGAAATGTTGATAGCTTAGTATGAAATTAACAAAATTGCCAAATTTGGTTTAAATACGTCCATAAACAAGCAAACTACAACAGTTTATTTACAAAATGGCTCTAAAAATGGTCTTTTAAGAAATTGTAAATTTTATGATTTTAGAGGGGAAAACGTGAAAAACCAATTTTCACCCCATAAAACCGCCGTTCCCATAGTGCGATCATGTTGGGGGTTCGCAAACTCGTTCGAATAAATGTAAATTTACACGTTTGTGCCCTTGAAATTTAATAAAAATTAGATCATTTTTGCTCAAGTTATCACGCTAACGGACACACACATATATATGAACTTGAACGGAGGGTGTTTTTGTCCTCTGGGGACCATAGTTGGGAAAGTTAGTCAAAAATTCTAACTAGTTAGAAGTTATAAGTTAGTCCGGTAAAAAGTAACTGATAGAAGTTATAAGTTAGTTAGTTTAAAAAGTAACTGATAGAAGTTATTAGTTAGTTGAAAAACTAACCGATAGAAAATAAAGTTAGTTTTAGTAGAAATTAGTTGTTCGTTGGACAGTTGTTTTAAAGTATTTCTTAATGTCACATCTTGGTTACTAATATATACTATAATATGAGTAAAGATTGCGCAAGATATGATTTAAAAAATGGCTCCCACGATTTCCTCCAATTTTAATGCTATTGAAAATTGCTTGTATAATACATTTGCATTGTATGATCTCTTACTAACCAAAGGGATAATTACGACTGTTCAAAAACATTAAGTGTTTTACTGCAAAACAATATACACTGACATTGAACTAAAAATCTAAAGGAAAGGCCAAGGAGATTTGTATTTTTCGACAATGCACCGCACGAATTGATGCGTTATTACACCATCCCGTAATTATAGTTGCAACTTCCACGATCCCAGTGACTTAATGCAATAACGGTCGTCAGATAACAGATGTTATGTATCATGAGTTTTATATTGATTGAAGCTTATTTTGGACATTTTATAGATTGATCGTCCAAATTAAAAAGTTTTGTAGACTAAATTGAGGATAAGTGGATGTCTAACAAAAACGAATTGACTTTACTACTTAATTAATCGTAGTAAGACTGAAAATATTTGTAGGCTTATAAGCTCTATTTTTTACCTCGTGAACAAATCAAACACCTCGAGCAAGATCGGTCCCCTGGTACTTGTGTTTAAATCAAACATTGTCACATTTTACATTACTACAACATAAACAAATGACATAAAACTTGTCAGATAATGAACATCAACTAAAGACAATGTTTTGATCGACACTTGAGATGATATATCAATCACCAAACAAACATTTCCCCTTCCCACCCATAAGTGCTTGGGGTGTTGATAATGGCCGTCACTACCCTTTTACAGGCCCACTGCATTCCAAAGCAACTGGACTTTGACTTTCTCTTTCCCCACCCCCCGCGTTGTTTGTCTACAAGGGCACTAACCTCTCACGGCTGCACGCAACCCTCACTGATCACGTGAAATAAATAACCAGTATTTGAGATGCTTCCGCATAATTGGGAAAGTTAGTTGAAAATTCTAACTAGTTAGAAGTTATTAGTTAGTCCCGTAAAAAGTAACTGATAGAAGTTATTAGTTAGTTAATTTAAAAACAAACGAATAAAATAGAAGTTAGCCAAAAAAACTAATGAATAGTGCTATTCGATAGAATTTCTATTCGTTATTCCCAAGTATGCTGGGGACCTCAAAATGAAAAAGTAAATCGGTCTCGGGGCTAGGTCTTAACATGAGATCTACGGTAATAACTTATTCCCTATATGGGAAATTCGCTAAAAACACTAGAAATTATAATATATCATAAAAAAAATTTTAAAGAAATTATTTTAAGTTCCTTTTGAATTTCAGGTGGTCTGACTCTTCCTATAGATGCTGGTCTAGTGGTTAGAGCGCGGGACTTCAGTCCCTTATATCCTGGGTGGGGGGGTCCTTCCTAAACCACCAATGAATTTTATCTAAGTGATAATGCCGCAACCCCTAGGTCTAGCCTGAAGTATTGTGAAAAACAATTCCGAGCTCGTGCCTAGCGTCCTAAGACAAAACATATAATATAAGAAAAAAACAAATATTGTTTCAGTAAAAATGTTTACAAGATATTTGTTTGTGTAGATTTTAAGTATTTTTATGAGAAATGTTGTAGTTGTATTGTTGAGGACTGTTCGATTCCTACTTGGAAACTTGAAGTGTGAAAGAATCCCATTGAAATCACATCGGCCACGTGGTTATACATTTCTCTCCTTCATTGGAGAGTGTTTGGTCTTACATTACTTGTTTAGCTCTTCAATGACTGCTTATAACAGTTGTTTCAAACAAGTTTAATTTTAAACTTGTTACTAATATTGTTCTTTTGTTTTGTAGTCCAGCACAGTTCTGTGAAATAAGAAGAATATATATTTAGAATGTACGTTTCAACATGGGATGAATTCGAGAAAACAGCACAAAATATTTACCTTCAAGATCCTCTTAGGGTAAGTTCTTAAAATTTTTTACGTCAAGGATGAGAGTTAGGTGGCGTATTTAGACAAAGATAGAGCTATAATAGGCTTTTTCAGGTCTAGATATTATGGGTTATTCATTTAGTTTTAACTACCGGTACATCGATTCAGTTAATAAGGTAAACCTACTTATATGCTTGTACCATTTTCCAATTATATTTACAATGTAATAGTCAAATTAGTTAAAAAAATCCAACTTAACTCCTTGTTCCTTGTCACTTGACCGTGAATATCAAGATGAGTGCAATATGCCTCTTGAAAACACCATAACACATTTTGTTGCAATAACCTCTATAAAATGACTATATTATTAAAACAATTTCAATAACACCCCTTTTCCTGAATCACAATGTAACCCAGAACCTTCATAATAAGTAGTTTTCAGACGTCAACCTATCAAAAATCAGACAAAGCCACAACACAACTGACTCTTTGGACATCTGAACACTAAGCTTCCACTCGCCTTCCTGCCAACCAAGTGTTGATAATGATGTATCAGGGTAACTTATTTTCAATTTTAAAATAAAAATTAAATATTGTGGTGTAGGTTGCTGAAAACACGGTAAACAATATAAATTTGTGAAAAAATCTCAGAGGGCTTAGTGGTTATTCAGCCTCAAGAAGTAATAAATTATAATTTGAGATCTGACATTATCTACAAAGACTGACTTTAATGTTACAATGTTTACAGGCAAGGTACTCTCTCAAGTACAACCATTCCCGAAGTTCACTCTCTGTGAAAATGACAGATGATGTTACAGTGAGTATTTGCCATCAAAAATTAATTTGGTGTTCCCTTAAAAAGCTAAATTGTCATAAAACAATGTAAATTTCAACTGTAGATTTTGTAAGTTTAAAATATATCCATTTGTTCCATTCTCATGTTAAATGTGTAGCATTCACTTTTGGATACTGAAATTAACTCGTATGTCTCCTCAATACTATAGTAACCAATAAAATGAAGGAGAAAATAGAGTTGTAGACTGTGAGTAGCTTATTCAACTATGTTTTTTGGGATAAAATATTGGCTATAGCTGGTCCAATGGGGACAGGATAGGTCACCTCCATTATTCAAAAGTATAAAAAAAAACAAAAAAAAAACTATTATATTGTTATATGTTTCAGATTGATCTCAAACACATTTTCTTTGTGTTGCGTGTAGCAGCAAACCTAATCAGTTGTTGAGCCAATGCCAATGCTATTGTGCTCAAAATGAATCCAATTGTAGAATTTCTCTAATGAACCTGTTGAGCTAAAACTGAGAAAATAAACTATTAAGTGGTTAAAGGTTGCAGTGTTGTGACAAGGATGTTTTATATTTGAAAACAAAGATTTTGTAAATTCCCGTGATTTACATTTGTGTTAACATTATTTGTATGTTACAGTGTGTTCAATACAAGACAGAAGTTGCTCAAGATGTGAGAAAAATAGAAAAGTTTATCAACAACCTAATGAGGCATATGACGTCTAAAAATGCAACATGATCCTGATCAATTCCATAAGTTATGTCAATAATTTTAAGTAAATCGTTTTTAACTGCAAACTGTGTTGTTCTTTTAGCAGTAAATACACCTTTTTAACTGTTTAGGACTTCAGTGAAGACAGTGATTCACCAAAAGGATTGTATGTATCCATTATCTTATGCATATGTACCTTTCTGGTGTACCTACATAATTTTTTAGAATATTCTTTTATTGAAAACAGAAAAGATACAAGAGCTATGTCTCCCTGTGAAAGGATATCGAATCTAGATGGTTGAATTTTTCACTCCTACTAAGCATTCAGAACCTCACCGGTACCTATCATTAAACACTTTATTTTATATGGCTTTATTTCTTGATAATTTGTCTGTTAAAGTCAACCAACCCTGTTCTCCATTAAGAATACAATATAACTTTCAGGGCCTGTGAGGCAAGGTCCGAGGACTCAGATGTAGATACATAAACAGGTGGAGAGGGAGTTTACATGAAAAAAAAAACCACCTCATTTGACTCATCGTTTGTAAAATTCTATCCATGATTTACAATGGAGTTGTGTTTCGTATAAATCACTTTCACATATTAAATATTTAGATACATGTTGGACGTTGGGCAAAAGGTAACAAAAAAAGGAATACTTTTCTCAGTCTCAATATTTATTCACATTGATAAAGGTACTTTTCATAACACAAAGTAGTTTCTCTAACAATGAAGAATGACAATGAAATAATAAATACATGAATGATCAGTTATGAGAAAATCATTTTATTTCTGTTGGCTTGTATCAACAGAATTATTTTGCGTTGATATAATTTTAAGCCACATGAGTAATTATTATAAAAATAACCTATTTCTTGAGCACACGAACTAGAGGATTTGGATTGAATGCGTATACAGGAGATGAGATGGGTTCTACATCTCTGTATTTTAAGTTGGCGACAAAACCTTCAGGAGCTTTTTCCGGGGGTGGTTGTGCTACTTCTATCTCATGGGATTTCTGGATCTCTACGTAGTGGAACGGTGTGGACTGCTGCTGTACTTTAGCTGGCCTGTTGAACTGAGATGGATTCTGGCTGGACTTTTGGTTGAACTCGACTTGGGTGTATTTATTAGGCTGCTTGTTGAACTGTGCCGGTTTACGATTGAACTGAGACGGCTGTTGGTTGAACTGAGATTGTTGGTTGAACTGAGATGGCTGTTGGTTGAACTGAGCCGGTTTCTGCTCAAACTGTTCAGGACTGAACTGGAACTGAGCGTGATGAGCCTGAATCTGGGAAAGCTGAGCCTGCTGTTGCTGCAACTTCTCCTGTTGAATCTTCTGACTTTCAAAGTTGTTGAAAGAAAGCTCATTCCCTTGGAACTGTTGTGGAGAAGTTTGCTGCTGTTTCTACAGTTAACAAAACAGAGTATTATACACTTTAAATACCTGAATGGATAAAGTGCTTGCCTGAAAATCTAAAGTTTGCCAATCCCATCCTGAGAAAAGTGAGAAGGTAGGTAGTTTTTTTAAACTTCACCCAGCATCCTTGATTCGGCTTTTATAGGTCGGCCGCTTAGAAAGCGACCTCCTCCATCATTGGTGTAGCATTAGCGCACAGGTCGTTTTCTAAGCGGCCGAACTATAATAAATGTTCCTACAGAAACACCTGGTCTTAGTCAGTAACAAAGCTACATAAGTCACCTCCATTATCTTTTACATTTGGATTTATATACGCCTCACTAAAAGGACCCATCTCACAATAGGTAGTGTTACGTTACATATGGCACTGAGACATACCATCTGTATGGACCAGCTGGGGTCAATGTTTTTATACAAGTAGATAGACAGAATGAGCCTCTCGCTCTCAGAGAGTACCTTACTGCAGAAATCCAATTTTGTCTCTTGACCGTACAATAAAAGATGTTGTGTGAAATGAAAGACACCATACTTTACAATGAGTAGTCCTACCACTATGGCTTGGTTAAATAGTTTGTGTATACAACACAAATTAGTATTTTTCAGCATCATGGAGACATTTTAAAGGGAGGAAATTAATTTTTGACAGATGCAGTAGCACACACTTTGTGTGACTCATTCAAATATTCTTTTGGGGTAAAAAATTGGCTACAGCTGACTCATGTAGATGGAATGTCTACTGGTACATATTTAATATGTTCACATGTAGAATTGTATGGTCCATGTACAACTAATTATCTCTTCCCTCATATTTGACTGAAGACTTTACCTGTTTCTGAGATCGGAGTGGTTTCGTTGTGTATCTGACCATCTGAAGTTTGCCGTCAGGTTGCAGTACGTAGTAGACTCCTCGGTCTACGAGCTGTTCTGATGGCTCTTCAGATCCATCCTAGACAATCATCAGAGTATTTGCATTCACTTTATACTACTACAAGAAGACTATTTTTTGTTCCTCATCCATATCCTAGGAAGCCCGCTCTAGTCTGAAACCTAGTGTATTTGACACATAACTACAGGCTGCTTAGAGGCTCGTCGGCGGCAGTTAAACATGAGATTTCAGGGGAATACCCTGCTCTACCACCAGACCAACTTCCTACCTAGGAGGACTTCTTTTTTAATTTAAACAACATTAGGTTTAATAAGAACTGATGCAACTGAGAATTGCTGCTAAAGTGCACAAACCTTCATAAAAAAAGTAGGTTTTTATTGAAATATTAGCTTTAGTATGAAATAAACAAATTTGGTCAAAATATGCCCATCGACAGTTTACTTTATATCCATAAAAATAATATAAGAATTTTAATTTATAATTTTAAAAATTTTCACTGCAACCATTAGGTGCACAACGCTTTATTTTATTTTATTATTTGGGTTTTTAAGCTTTACAAAATAGTTCGGAAAGAAAATGCAATACCGGTACTTTATGTTTTGGGGGTCAAAAATAGGAAAATACATTTTTACCCCATTTCCCATAGTACGATCATGCTGGTTCGCAAACCTGTTGAAATTTAATGAAAGTTGGATAATTTTTACTCCAGTTATAGTGCTAATAGACACACAAGTTCATAATTTTATGTGAATTTGTAAGTTAGTGTTATTGGACTCTGAGGACATCAAAATGAAAAAGTAAATCGGCACCGGGTCTAACTCTTACAGTGCCACCTATAGTAATAGCTATAGCTACTTCCCTATAGGGAAATTTGATAAAATGTGTTAGTTAAGTTTGAACTATCAAGCTTGTTATCAAGCCAAACAGCTTTCATTGCACGATATATGTGGCAGTGGCCGGCAAGATGGCGAAATGATCATCAGTCAAATTAACAGCTGTTGGTTATGTCGACAATAATACCGCCACAGCCTTCTTGATTGATCCTGAACCTCAACTCACGACTTGCTCTATGTTGAGCAACTTCATACACTCACTTTTCACTGTGGCGTTTGTTATCCAGTAGGCACTGACGTTCTTTTACTTTTACTTTCATAAAGGCCCATTGATGTCGATGAAATCTTCGTTCTCATTACATTTTGAGGTTAAGGTTTTTCTTTTATGTCTACTTTTATACTTTGGCGATGGTAAGTTTATATTATCTGAGGAAATAAATGCGGACATTTACCACCACGATAAGTAAAAAGAATTACGATGTTTCTGATTCCGGTGAGAAAACACCTAAAAATTAAACGAGAACAACTCGTATTTTCAGCATTGGCTGGATTTGTGTTTATGTCGGTTACATTTGGGTCCACTGCGCTGACTTCGACTAAATGATTGCATACACTAGTATCTTCTGCCTTCTGGCACAGAAAATAGTATGTTTTCTATGCTTCTGGTGAGGTACCGGTAGTCATGAACTTTATCTACAGTATTCTCTTGGCTTCAAGACTTTACATCGCTGTTCAGTACCTCAGTACCAAGTCTCAGTTAATTTAGATGGAAAGTCTACTCTGTGTATAGTCAGTGCCATAACTAAACTTTAAGCACAGGCTCATTTCTAGCAATAAATGAATTAAGTGTGTAAATCAGATGCTAATATTTGGTCAAAATTTTTTTTTTTCAATTGTAAATAACAGTTAATCCAAAACGTTTTGAAAAATCAACGCGCTTTTTCCGCTTTAAAATACTAGGCTACTGATATTTATTTGTGTTCGAAGAAAAGGCTGTAGCTACAACACTGTATTTGTTGCGTTGAGTTATTGGTAACTACATGGCGTAACTCATGGTGGTTATAATTGCAATTTGCCAGTGGTCACGCACCCTGGTGAACGCTTGGCATCATGATGCCGTTTAGGCCTACGCTTGGCATCATGATGCCGACTTTCACGGTTTCATCAGAATCACTTGCTGCAACCGTTACACCACTGTTATCGACAAGTATTCAATCATATGGCGAAGTAAGTGATTAACACGTTTATTTATTTGAATTATTGATTTCAATTTAGTTAAAAAAAATTGGTAGGCAACGTTCTTCAATAGGTACAATAGGTTATAGGCTCACGAATAGGTCATACTATATTATAGGATACTGTCGGATTTGGGAAAAAGTAGGATTTCGTATTCAACAATATACTACTCGTACAAATCACGAAACTGGTGTACATTTATATACTCTAACCTTACATCATATGTCTGGTGTATTGTAAATTATTGAGTTGTGGAAGACAGATTTTGAAAAATTACTATTTAGTACAAATACAACACATTTGAATGTTTATTCTTTCATTTAAACTTTTCCAAGTTCATTAGCTTTGACATTGAAATCCTATTATTTCATTTTAGAAACAAAGAAGTTTATTAGGTAAAACGTCCCTTTGAATAATTAGTTAGAAAAATAATTATTATTTAATTAGAACAATAAGTTATTTCCCAATTGGAATCGAAGTATAGGTGCATACATTATGGCATTATGAAGGGTAAAGTGTGTTTTAAAAACAGAAATTGGTATTTATAAAAGTGTTAAGTAATGTTTCTAGTTTTTGGTAATTTTGTTATAGGCCTACAACGTTTTAGTGTAGTTTTGATTTTAATTTTATTGATATAAAATCAAAAACTTTATCGTTAAACACTAAAATATTTAGCACAAGAACGAGACATGTGGTTCTCAATCAAATACAAACACAATTGAAAGTATTGAGTATATAAAATAAATGTTTACGGCACAGATCAGCATTAAATCCATGTCAACTAAGCATTTGTATTTGCATTTTTCGTAACATCAGAGGTATTTGGCAACTTTATGGGTGACAAAGGTTGAAAATCAGTTGTTATTACGTACAATTTCTAACGTCCATAATTAAATGTGAATGCCTATTTGGTCTATAATTATTGCAGCTATAATTTGTCTTCGCAAATAACAGGGGCCAGAATCAATCCACAGTGTCTTGGTAAAGACCGAGCGTTAGGCAGATTTATTCATGAATTTCTTTATACTATAGTTCGGCCGCGTAGAAAGCGACCTCCTCCAGCATTGGTTTAGCATTAGCGCGCAGGTCGTTTTCTAAGCGGCCGAACTATAAAACCCTTTTTCATACTATGTGCTAATTAAAAAAATGGTTGCCGGTTCGCCGTTGAAAAACCACATTTTTTGGAGTTCAAGGGGACACAAATACCGTACTACCTATGTATGTTTATGTGAAGACAGCAAAAATAGACTAACCTCAGGTTGTTCCGTAGGCTGTTCAGTGGGTTCGTCAGTGGTCGGCTCCGTAGAGGGTGGTCCGTACTCTTGAGGTGGAGGCCCGTAGGAGGGTGGTGGCGACTGGGGTGGAGGCCCGTACACTGGCCTGGGGGTGGCGGAGTCTGTTTGACGAGCAGGCAGTACCAGGAGGCGGCCAGAGGGGTGCCAGCCTGAGGGAGGGTAGGGCCCGGAGGCTGGAGGGTAAGGAGCGGCGGCCGGGGGCTCTGCCACCACAGCCAGTACAAGCATTGCCAGAGGAACCAGTATAGTCTGGAACAAAAAAGTGATCCAGTTTTTTTTCACTACTTATGTAGAGTCTATGTAAGAGTCTTTGAACAGCTGTGGAAGAAATGATGACACAATTTTTAATTTGGGAAGGCCGATGAGGAATAAAGCTCTGGAAGAAACTATTACAAAGATCTTTTATGTCGCAGGGATAGATGTCCTGAAACAGCTCAAGTGAGCTCAACGTCAATTGAAATACAAAAGGAATATGAAATTTTGAATTGTTGTGAAACAGTTTCGTATACTTTATACACATACTTAGATATGTATATACTTTATGAGTATTCAAGTGTAATCTCTCCTTGCAACTTTCTGCTGTCTTTAAATCATTCTATTTAAAATAATCACCTTTGACTAAATATACACAACGTGAATAAGATCCCATACCCATGGTAAGGTTATAGAAAACATTAAGATGAAAGAGGTACCAACAGAGTGCTGTCAAATACTGTTATATTTTTTATTGATTTACAGTTTATGCCGAACTGAAAGCTATAGATTTTTTGGTTATAATTATTACTCTTGATAAAAAAAAGTTTCGAATAAACACAATCATAGTTCAAACTGTCGTATCAAATCCATAGTGAATTAAATGCACAACCAAATTTGGCATTCAAGTCTGATTTTGATGTACTGTAAAAAAATGTGTAGCCCAGTACCTACTTGTATAAAAAAACCTGACTTGTACGCTTGTACATAAGTAAAAATAAACACATTCCAGAACTGCAAATTGACACAAGTCACATTAGAAAGGAAACAAAACGAAACCGAACATTTAACGCAGCCTGCGTATCTCACGTAGTTTGCGGCACTTTGAAGGCGCAACTAGAGTGGCCAAAAGGCAACAAAGAGGCTACAGTATTTTATACTGATTAAATTAGATTGGGACGTTTTGTTAAAGATTCACTATGTAGAGTTTGTGTCTCTCGCCTATGTTGTATTGTTAGCTTAAATGGGATAACAATACTCCACCATGTAACAGTTTAAAAAGAAGTATCAAGAAAACATGTTTTAATTTACGGGTTGGAACGGTTGGATTACATTACTAAAATTAAAGGTACTGTTACAAAAAAAGTAACCACTTGATATACAATGTTGTCCAATATGCTTGCGATTATATAAAGAGAAAAACGGATGTCAAATTCTTGCCCAGCGATACACTTGTTATCTATTTGACTTAAGTACTTGCTTACAAAAAATGTACATGTTACAATTTGTCAATGGATGCCCTTCTCATCAATAATACTTGTTAACCAACTTTGTTAACCAAGTTGGAGTCTGAAAATATTACGGTTGTATAAAAAATACATTGACGCTTTTGTTTATATCTTAGCACGCACTCATTTATTTATAAATTGATATATGATGCTTATTACATCTTTGGAAAATCTTAAGTTGGTTCAATAACTTTAATAATTTGATAAAATCTGACTATACTAAACATACACCACTTATGTGCTAACAGTGTATAAATGTCATAACGTACCACATTACACGTTTTCATTTTATGAAAATTAAATACAACCGTTGACTTTGAATAGTACGAATAGACTTTTCATCCTATTGTTTTTTATGTGTTTTTCATGTTGGTGATGTGTATTCGAAAAGTTTTTATTTTGAGAAATTCTTTTGATCTTTGCTACTCTTTACTAGAGGACGAGCTGTTGTTTATGATTCGATCTTTTTATTTGGTCAAAATAGTTAAAAAATAAGTAAAACAACCAGATACAAATAATAAACAGAATGCCTTAGCTGAACTGAACACTGAACAGTGCGGCATATGTAATTTCGTGGGATTTTGAATGAAGCATTGCATGATTGGTGGCGATAGATAGGGAATGACTTGTTATAGAATTGTGTGCTACCGGGTGTTTTCTCTGAAAGTGTGGCCTTTCTGGTGTCTTCGACCGCCATCTTGGATCCACCATATTGGATATTAATACATTTTTTAAATATAATAATTGTGTTGTGACACTTCATTATAAAATAGATTTTCACGCTGATTTCAATACCGAAATACGTTTTTAAATATCTCTTTTTGTTTGGAAGATATATTTAAATAAAAACTCTCCCCATACATTTCTTATGAACGTTTCGTACTTTGAATATTTTTAAGATTATTTTTCTTATATCTCCAGTTCTTATTAACGATTGCAGTTAATTCTAGCCTTAAAATAGTCAGTGATGTAAGGGCTTTCATTTAAACTATTGATGATTAAAATCGGACGAGTTAGAGTCATAATTCTGAAAATAAGTTTTTTAAAATACCGTAACTTAAAAAATTGTCCTAGTCAATGCCATAAATAATTTACACTTCACTTAAATACACTACAGGAGAGAAAAACACATCCACCCTACTTATCTAATATGAAAAAAATCGATGTTAAAAAATGTCTACATACCATGATGTTGGAGCCCAATTGATTATGTGGGTCGGTCAGTGGACTAACGTTATATACTGGCTTGTAACATTGACAACGGTGGGTTACATCAATGGTGTCTAGCCTTGCTGATACGTGAACTCCATGGCTATGAGCTGACACAATCGTCATCATCATGGGTCTACCTCCTCCAAGAACAGGAAGTCATGGCGATTACCCCAAGGCGAGGGAACTGGTCGAGTTTGGTGATTTTGTTAGAAACGGAGTGGGATGGTTATCGGGCCATTCGGGATTCAGGAGACCTAAGGCCTGAGCGATGAAGAGGGTGTTGAGGATGTAGAGGACGTGGATGTGGAGGGTGGTAATAGGGTTCTCAGTGCCCGGGGCTCCAGAACTCTGGGGTTGTTGGTGTAGTAACACATCGGCCCAGTAACACTTCGTCCCAATCGCTTAAGCTAACGGAGTAACATTTTGGCCCGACGAAAAATTAAGATGGGTTGAGGAACGCAGTTCAGGTAGTATGAGGCCCATGACCTGTATACTTTCAATTGATACTTTGCAAACACTCTGTGAGGGAATGCCGTCCAACCGTTACCCTTTCGGAATCGGCGGATTCTCATCCCCACCAACCCCTTTGTTTACGAGGGAAGACGTTGCTAATTTAAATGCCATTCCTAAGAGCGAGGTCTAAGTGTGAATCTAACCTTACGTAACCTAACCTTTCGGAATCGGTGGAATCTCATCCCCACTAACCCCTTTGTTTACGAGGGAAGACGTTGCTGAACTAAATGCCATTCCTAAGAGCGAGGTCCAAGTGTGATTCTAACCTAACCTAACCTAACCTTACCTAACCTAACCCAACCTTTCGGAATCGGTGGAATCTCATCCCCACCAACCCCTTTGTTTACGAGGGAAGACGTTGCAAATTTGAATGCCATTCCTAAGAGCCAACCTAACCTAACCTTTTACGAACTAGCTATAAAGATCATAAACGATTTTTGGATATTGTCAAATCCCGGTTTGCACTATAAACAACTGGAGAAAACCTTAACTATAAAACAAGCAATGATAAACCATCTATCCATCTATCCCTAAGGCATTGGACTTTAAACTGATGGCTCTAGCTAAAAACCAGCTTAGTAACCAAGCTATCATCTCATTAGTACTCGCTCTAAATACGTGCTCCGGTACGTTGTGCACCTTATAATCTGAACCATAGAGTTGAAAAGATAACACTTGTCAAAGACCAAACCAGTAGGTTGTCTCAAATAACGCTTTACAATTTTAGTATATTTTAATTAGCCCTTCTATTCATCCAATTGAGTTCTGTAAGATATATCCCCCAATCACTCAAATTGAGTTTAATTTCAAACTCCATGTGCATTACAGTAGCAACTACTATATAGGCTAACAATTTAGACATTTATATAGCCAGTTTTATAAAAATTTCATCAGTGTACCCAAAACGATTTGACGGTGTTTTGTAACATGGCGTGACGAATAGAAAGATTGATAACGTTTTGATATCTGAGTCCGATGGCGGCGTTAATCAACACTCTGCACACGTCTTCTACCCACGACGTTTCGGTAGTGGCATCACGTCCGTCCTCACGGCCTTCTCTATATTACCAGCCTTCTTGGCCATAACGCATGAAGATGGGGTCACAGAATATCGCGGTAAATGTAGTCTGTGGGAAAATGTTTCAGCTAGATCCGCTTGTTTGAATTTGTCTTCAAGTTTACTTTTTCTAAGATTTTTTGTTGATTTGAAACACTACAATCGCGTACTTATTTCTGAGGAAGATTCTACGGTATTTTTACTTTCCCCTTATACATAGTATAAAGAGGAAGTATTGATCTCGTCAAAATTTCCAAGTTTGAGCTTTGGATGAATATATTCCCCCAAGGAGGGGGTTTGCCCCCCCCCCTTGAACCGTTGTTGTAAACCTAATAGGTAAGAGAAATTATAAAAAAATGTTAATTTTAAGTTCGTTTGTTGTTCTTATGGAGAGTAAATAATCTGTTGTAATTTGCTTCGTTGTTGATAAGTACTTTGAAATGAGGATGAATGAAAGATTTGCCCAGTCGTAAGTATACGTTTTAATAATACGGGTAAGTTGTGACGCATATTGAGTGGCTAGTGTGCACCTATTAAGTTGTAGGTAAGATTAGAAACAATTGGAAGACTTCCCTTTCTTTTGACTTGTGAGAATTGTTTACAAACGGACACCGTTTGTAGCTCAAGACGATTAGCACACAAATAGCAAGGAGTGTACAGCGACCAGAGTCCAGCATTGTTTTGGAATCGCTTAACGAAGCAACTAACTAAACACCCGGCCTTGCTACAATGCCGAAGTTTTCGTCTTAACAACTGCAATTTTTGAAACTATACAAGTTCCTATACAACTGAGAAATGCGAATAAATTGAACTTAGGAAAGACTTAATTTTATCACTTGATACTAGAGGACAAAATACCCAAATATAAGAGCTTGCTTTTACAAGGCGCAAATTGACGGAATTTAACAATGGAAATTTTGATCGTTTTCGGAATGAACTAAAATTCTGCATTTTTGTCAATTAGTCACTTGTGCACTATTTCAACAGACCGAAATGTTACACTTTCAAGAAGCCATCCGTCACTTTAGCAGACCTTGGTCCGGGGAAGGTCGCCAGCTGCACTTGAACATTAACTATGCATTGTGTGAAACACTGCAGAGTGCGATGCATCTTTGGTAACTAGCATCTTTACGTTCAGAGAGCCATGGTTACCTTACTCTGGATACATTGCCATGGATACACTACCTTGGGTTCATTACCATAGCTACTCTGTCTCTGATAGGAGTGCAATGGAAACTCTAGAATGGGCAAACTTTCTTGATAATATACTTTATATGCATTGATATCCTGGATACGATCACTTGAGTAGACTGATAGACTTGATAGACTTTGGTGCAGTACCGTGAATACTTCAACTGACCACACCACCATCCTTGGATAAATTACCATGAATACGTTACCATGATTACACTACCATTTATACAATTATAATGGATTCGTTACCACGGTCATATTGCAATGAATCACGCAATATTAAGCAAGTAGTTAGTTAATTAATTTTAGTAACCCTATCTGCCAAGAAATAACACTACATGTTTATTGTAAGTGTAAACTACAAAGAAACATTAATTTAAAATATATTCTGTGATTAATATGGCGCCAGTTACCAACCGAAAGTAATTAAATATCCATGACCAAATAACGGATATAAACTCTCATATCATGATGAAAAATCTGGTAAAATACAAATGTATTTGTAGAAACATAGGTTCTACCAGATTAAATCCAAGAAATAACTATTTCTTAAATCTTAGTTCACCGTTTCTTCAGCTGGGTTGAAGCATAGACTAACCATATGTATTATCTATGGTTGAAGTATAGACTAACCATATGTTTCATCTATGGTTGAAGAATAGACTAACCATATGTTTCATCTATGGTTGAAGAATAGACTAACCATATGTTTTATCTATGGTTGAAGTATAGACTAACCACATGTATTATCTATGGTCGAAGTATAGACTAACCACATGTATTATCTATGGTTGAAGTATAGACTAACCATATGTTTTATCTATGGTTGAAGTATAGACTTATAGTTGAAGTATCGAGTTACCTTAACTCATTTGGTAATGCAGGCAAATAGTTCATGTAACTCATTCAGAATTTTAGACCAGTTTAGTGAGCCGAGATTGACACAATCTTGAATTTCCACGAGTTCGTCTTGTCCATGGACTACCTAGTTATTGAAAGATTATGTTAATTTTCAGCCTTTAATGTTGTAAAAGAGTTCTCTATGGAAATATATTACTACGATATGTCTGTTAATAGGATATAACTATTTCCTTATATAAAAGGACTCAAAGATTAAATTAATTATGTACTCAACTTGTTAAATACTTAACTTTAATTGCTTGCATCTTTGGAAATGCAAAGAAGTCATGAGGTCAAACCTGGGTTACCAAACGCATTATTTTTCCGCTTCATCTGTCTTTTCGTGTTTCCAGCGAAACACCTAGATGAATGCATCTCTTTTAGATACGAAGAAGAAAAAACAAGAAGTCATGTAAAAAGATTATGTAGTTTATTACAACTTAATACAAGTTCATAACCTGTCCGGTTTACCTTTGTCAACCGTTGTACACGTTGTTTTGATAAGTGTAAACTCTTTATACATATTTATAGACAATGAAGCACAATGAAACGTTTTTGAAATTCATCCCGGATTTTCAACAGACTTAAACATTGGTTTAAAGGGACTTAAACGTTTTGCGTTGGATATTTATTTCCTATGACTTATGCATGGAACAAGATACCCAAGTGTCAAACAGAATAGATTACCTACACACATCCTTGTTTGACACTTTTTCCTCAACTCGCATTTATGAGTTTTTTAAATCATCACCCACACTATTTCACGGTCCAGAAAACCATAATCGTATCTCGACCGCAAATTGGGGAATAATTCAGCGAAGCGCGTGCTAAGATAATTATCATTCCTTTGGTTCATTACACTAAGTAGCGAGGTGTGAAAATTATAACAGCGTCCAAGATGACAACACATCTGCCATTAGGGTTAGCGGGGGTGGGATATATTAACCGTTTCACTATCCTGGTGAAAAAACAGCTGTTAAGGATAGTGTTTGGCCATCTGTTAAGCTGAGTTATGTCAATATATTCTATGGGTAGAACCTTAAACAATAATTAAATATAGACCGTCAGCAGTTCTGCGGTTAGCATAAGTTCTGGTATCCACCGCTGCAAGCGTCGTGTAGTTACGTATCTCGTGTGCCGCAACTACACGGTGCTACCAGCAGTGGACGCCAGAACTTATGCTAACCGCAGCACTGCTGACGGTCTATATTTAGATCTATTTGCATATGGTAGAACTCGTACAAGCAGGTGTTTTACAAATTCAGTTCAATTATTTCAGACGAAGCGCACACTTTATGTGTACTTTAAGCTGGATATGAGTGCGGAATGAAAATTCTAACAATGAGCTATGTGGTTTTAATGAATTTGGAGGTAGCACTTCTCGAGAAAATTTACTGCCACTGGCAGCGATTTTGAAGAGTACTGAAATGGTTTCAGTGTTTCCATACGCAGGATTTGA